AACACATCAGGATTGTTATTGAACATCTCACCAATAAACGTTGTCCCAGATCGACCCTGACCAACTATAATCACGTCTACACCACTGAACTGAGAAGGGTCATTATTTGCCAATACCCGCGCATTAAATTGATTCTGTTCATATCTAACAAGATACATATAGATATTTCTGTAATATTGATAAAATATCAGAGTCTTTGCAAAGCATGAGAATATGAAAACCAAGAAACACAGCTTCAAGGCAACAGCTTCATGGCCAACCAAAAATGTATATCAGTTAACTCGAGATAGCAATATATTCTGTTTCCCTGGAAAAGTTAGAGTTTGATTAGAAAATTGTCGCTGACACTTTTTAGCCAACAAGGCTATATCTAATCCAATTAGGTTTTAATCCTAATGTACAAAATGAAACATTAGCGCCTTTCACTTCAAGCTAACCCATGGTATAGGCGAAATATATAAATTGTATTAAGGCATCGTCCACACGTATCCGGTTATTTTTGAATTCGCAGCCTTTTTGATTTTCGCAGTCTTTTCCGTGAAAGTGCGCACGCTCTGTTGACCTAAGATTTTGATATCCGGATACGTATCGGATCCGTATGGACGTTCTAAAACGATTCGAATACGCTACGTGTTTACGCAAAGTCTTTAAAAATCCGCAACGAAAAAGTTGCGGAYTCAAAAATATCCGGATACGTGTGGACGAGGCCTAAAACTCGCTAAAATAACTGCTATTAATAATCATTTTATACGGATAACATGACGACACTTATCCTTATACCCAGTCAAACAACACGCTTTTCGTCCTTCATCTGTATTTCCGTTTCGTTGTACTTTTACCCCAAATAATATTAGCAGTAACGTTGAACTTGTTATCCTAAAACATTCTGATAAAAAGCAAATTTTATAAATCCTTAGTCTGAGACTTTYCTTTCTCGACTTTCTGTATTATACACGTATTCCAAACAACTTATACACGTATTTCAAACAACTTATACACCAATTGGAAGTTTCTTACTCGTTCTCAGATTTCAGATTTCAAATCTCCAAACGACAACGTTTTTTGAAAACAAAAAGGTGTATTTAGTGGTAGAGACGTACAGAACTCTGATCTTTTGTTTGCTTTTTCCATTCATTTGCATTAGTGACGCCCTTACGTGGAATCGTATTGATAAAAGCAGATTTTAATCTTCATATGGTGGGTTAGAAGCTTAAACGTAGGGTCCAACCTTCAAATGCTCACTTTGTTTACTCGTTTTTGATTGGGCTCGTATGTTTTACTTTTCTTAGGTCAGCTGGATAGCAGAAATACAAATGAATATTTAACTCGTGGATACGCGTAGCGTAGAAACGGAATGATTGTGAGGGGCCTAAATATGCATATGTGTCACTCACTCACTCAGCTCACTAAGATGCAGTAGGTTTGCATGCAAAATTACAGGTAGCCAACGCTAAGTTTCTGTGAGGATGTTACTAAGAGTTTGTAGAAAATATTGAAATAAATGCAAAGACATTTTAAAGCTATATTGGGCTGATTTTTTAACTTGGTTTAGTCTGTACTAAATTCAAGAAAATTGCAGTTTTTGAGCCGTTAAATCAATGAGTCAAAGCTTATACTATGGTCCAGATCAATGGTACCTCGACTAGTTTTTATCTTATACTCACTTTTGAAGACTCGTAAGTCGAATGACTCCTGGAAAGTAAACAACAACAACAACACTCAAAAGCAGTTGACTCCATCGTGAAGTCGAAGTCGTCGTTGGTAAACTTTTGAAGTAATCTGGCAATCAATTTATTACATCATTCCCTATAACGTACAAGATTTAGCACTTAAAGCAATTTAACTACTTCTATATCTGAAGGAAAATATATTCCGTATCATGCACAGCAATAGCAAAATACAGTTCAAGTAGTTCGACGTAAAATCTGAAAGATCTGAGTATTCACGAGTTAGCCACATGACACATTTGCTTATTAATAACAGCACCCTCCTAAATAGTTTATCGAAAAACCTTACCTAAGATTAAGCTTTTTCATCACATTGGAACAGGCTGTTTCTATAACCATTTTCGTATTTCTAGACAGCTTTACTT